GAAAAAAAAAATTTACTAACACTAATACTAAACTAAAAGAGGAATACTAAAAAAAAATAAAACTAATACTAAAAAACAAATACAAAAACGAAAGGTGGGGATAAAAGAAAAAAGGGAATCTGATAGGTCACGATTATAGGCCTGTGTCAGGCTTTAAAAATTACATATTAACAGGTAAAGATACTCAGTATCTAACTTTATCCTAATAATATATGTGTAAGTGTAAAATACATAAAAACCATATCAGCTAAACAAGACAGAGTAGCCCGAATAAGGAAGTCTCGAAGTATTGTTCAACAGTTTTTTCAGTTTGAGGTATATATATTATTATATTGTCTAATGGTCTATACGGTTGCTTATTCCAGATGTCTGCCTGTTATCCCATTTTGGTAATCTCATTTATGGACTCATGTAAACAGATAAACAATACTGACTATTTTGGTAATTTATATGTTGATCTTAGGAGAGGATAAGCTGAGATGCCCACTTTTTGACAAAATTTTCTCGAAAAAAAAGTAGTGGGCCAATAAAATTTTTTTGTGATTGTTTCTTGTAAGTTTTACAGTTGTATAGAGATATCCAAAGCTATAATACTCCTGGTGTTGTCCTAGACACTCTGTGTTTCCAAAATATCTTTCTGGTTTGGATGCCAAATAAAAGTAAAGGAGTCTGCCGAACAGAAGCTTGACCTCTACCAAAACCAGTCCAAAATAGACCACATCTCGGTTTTATACTCTTGGTACTTCGTTAACAACATACCTATTTCTGTAGAACCAAGTTTATTATTTATTTTAGTATCTTCTATAATGCTGACCGTAGTTCAGTTTCTTGATTTTTGTTGACTATTAGTTAGTAATTACTATTTATCAAAAAGCAAAATAAAAAAGTAAATCATAAATAAAGACGAATACAAAATATAGGTAAGATTTTCTGGGTCATATGTCTACTGATCCTCAGATCTAGCATCATATGCATGGTTAATACCATTTACAATTTACTGTATAATGATAAACAATAATCATTCTTGATAATTTTTTTCTTTGCTTATTTATTTTTTTTCCATGTTTTTTTTACACCTTTTATATTTTTGCTTTTTTACTTTTTCTTTTTTTTCTATCACTTTTTTTTTTTTCTCCTTTTTTTTTTTTTTTTTTTTTGCTTTTCCTTTTTTTTTTTTTTTTTTTTTTTTTTTTTTTTTTTTTTTTTTTTTTGTTCTATTTGAAGTTACGTCAAACACGAAGAAGCCAGACCAGAAGTCGAGCCGTGAAAAGAGTAGGTGAAATAGACAAGTGAAGTAAAAAAGCACTAGCACTTTCTAAACTATGTCCATATGCAAGTATTACTAATTCACATTCCACAAAGCCTAAATCTGGGTAATCCTCACAATAATAGCCCTAGTGTAACTATCATCAACACATAGGGCTATTATATCTTCTTAATACATATTAACTTAAATCACATAATAAAAGTAGGAATTGGGAACTAATATAAGTATATTTGAAAATATTTCTGACTGTACTGGTAATCAATTGTTGTTTACAAAATTTTTTGTAATTACATGTTATACAGAAAGACAAACAAAAAATTTCAAAGTTATATTATTGATATGTTAATTATAATAATTATATTGATATATCAAAAAGAAACATTTGATAGTTGAAATACATCAAAATGTAACTTTTGTATCACTTAATATGTAAAAATTAAGTATCTATCACTATACTCTGGACAATAATAATTTTATTAAAAATTGCTTTTTATATAAATTTTAATTAATTACTTTTATTTATAGATTCAAAAATAATTGCATATAAAAAATTATTTAATTTAAAATTTTTTACAAAAAAATATATTAAATGATATTTAAATTTAAATATATTATAAATAAAGTTATAAGCTTTATAATATTTAAAATTCAAATATATATATTTATTAGATTTTAAAATATTGTAATTCAATTTTTTTTTAAGCAGAACAATAATTATGAGAGTTAGTATATAATGAAAAGTTAGGATTAAGAATTGTTTCTAAAATCTTATTATGAATAGTGCAAAATAATTTTTTTAATTTTATCAAGATTGGTATTGCCAATTCATCAAGAATAGTATTTTTGCAAAGTATGAATCTATTTAATATGTAATTTTCAAAATTTCAGATGTATTTTTTTGTTTTTTTTTGATAAAGTGAATTTAGAACTAGAATTGTTAACAAAAAATTATAAGTGAATTTTAATATAGTTCATATTTTTAAACAAGATATAAAGTTTAGCCTTATTTGCGATATTTAATAAAGTATATTTAAATTTAATAAATACAAAATCAATTTATTAACTAATATATTTAAATTACTATCAAAAAATTTATAATACTCAACTTATTTATTTACATTAATTTAATAAATAAAAGATTATTTATTAATTGATATATTTAAATAAGATTTAAGTCATGAATATTGATCATTATATTTAAGTTAATTCATGAATATTATGATAATTCAAATAATATTTTACATTTATAATTACATCTTTTACTGCTATTAAATTATCTCTTAGTTGTTCTAAAATATATAATATTTATAATCTTTTTATGATATTTTATTTTAGATTTTGTTTGATTTGATAATATTTTTAACTTTGATATCTAATAAGCTTTAGGTTTTTCTGTTTTGATACAATAGGTTTATTGCAATTATTTCATATACAAGTATCAATTTTTAGTATTTTTAATTCCAATAGTATTATAACTTTAGATTTCATATTTTATATAGTAAATTATTTGATATATATAATATTTTAGTAGTATTTTTAATTTTTAATTTATTATAGAAACAATTCAGTATATTAAATATTTTAATATGCAATTTTAATAGATATATTTGAGTTCATTAATAATATTTTGACTCAAATTATTATCCTGAAATTAAATTTGAAAAAAGTTTCAAAGTCTTATATTTATATGAATTTGTATAATTCATAATCTAGAAATTTTTTAACTTTTTTAAACTTTAAACCAATATATCTCAACAACTACCAAGCCAAATTTGATAAACTTTTTTATTTGAATTCTATAAATTTAAAGAATTTAAATAAAAAGTTTATTAAACTTGGTCTAATAGTTATCAAGATATCTTTGTTTAAAGCTTTAAAAAACTCAAAATATCTATCAAAATAGAAGCTATATTAAATTTTTTCTTAAACTTTAAGTAAAAATATTTCTCCAACCACTAAACCAAACACAATAAACTTTTTTATATAAATTTTGTAAATTTGTAGAGTTTATATAAAAAAATTTTGCTCTAGTCACACTTATATAGAAGTCTATGATGAAAAAGAGTTAGGATTTACCAATATTAATGCAATACCAACTAGAAATATCTAGCTAAAAGTGATTTAGCTTGCAATTTAAGTAATTTCATAATGTTAGACTAGTCTTTAACAAGATAGGTTATTAAAGCAGAATTACAAAAATAGCCAATAGCTGGGAGTATGTAGCCTTGTAGTTGCTGTGCAACTTAAGAGGTCTTTACAAACTATGGTTCTGATGAATACTATATAAGAGAATATTTAAAGGGTAGTAAGAAGTATACTGCATCAGATAATTTAGAAAATGCTAAGACCTGGAGACAGCAAACTGGGCGGCAGCAGCAGGGACCTGGCTTGAGATATGAAGCTAGTATACCTGGGGATACAAGTAGGAGGTTTGGGATATTTATATAACATAAATTGCATGAAGAAATGCAAGCTAGAGAAACTGAGCAGTGCAAACCTATGATAAGTCCTCTTTTCAACATGTGATACCAATGCTTTTTATGTGGGACTAGCAGTAGCAGTAAGTACCTGGTTTGAAAAATGTAAATGAAAGGCCACCTATTAGAAGAAGTATACCAGTTTAGAAAATACTTCGAATAACAAGCACACCAAATTAAGAGGCCATTAAGGACTGATTACCCAAATAAACCAATTTAGAAGTTACCAGGGTTTGACAGTGAGATATGGGGTGAATGCAGTGGGTAACTAGATATAGTTTGAACACCAAATCTAGGTATAACCCAATATGTAGTAGGAACGTAGCATACACTAGTAGGTTTAGGTCGTAGATAAAATTGTCTAAGCTAGTATTCTTAAGATTATATATAGCTATATAAGGCAAATACTTGATACATCTAATAAAGATACGAGGCAAGACCTCACTTTAACACTAAAAAAAAAAATAAAAATAAAAAATAAAAAAATTTTATTAAATTTTGTCAAGTAATTATTGAGATAGCTTCATCAAAGTGTTTTTAAAAAAACTGTTAAAATAAAAACTACAGTATAATCTTGATATAACAAAGCTCTGGAGTTGGGTGTTTGGTTCAATATATCAAGGCTTTGGTCCACTGAGGTACCTTGCTATAACAAATCTATATAGTCTTATATACCTTACTATAATGAATTTATGTCTTTGGTTTAAAATAATATTATATTCTAAACATATAGCTTGGGCTAGTTATATATGTATGCTGCCAAGGCTTCCAATTTATCATTTATTGTTTACCAGATTCAGTTCTGCTAGCAATATATATAATTAGATTTTTCATGAGCTAAATTCGATAAAAAATAAAGAATAAAATTGAAGCCCAAAAATCACATCTTCCTTGGGCAGTGCTCATTTATACAATTTATTGTAAAAGTTGCTATTTAAATATTTTAAATATTATAAATTTATATTTCAGCCATTTTTTGAAAGTATATATAAATATTAATTTTATCACGCGAAAAATATAAAATATAAACTAGAGCATCAATATCAACACAAATATAAATATAATCGTATATAATCACATATGTATATGCATTTATTATGAATTGTTAAATAGTCTTTCAATATGTGATACATATAATTAGAATATAGTAAATGGTGTCCAAATTAAATATACTATACTGTATGCAAACATAAATGTAAGAATTATGTTATCTAATGGCATATGAATAAAACTACTGAGATAATGTACAATACCTTTTAAGAAGAAATTTCAAAGTCAATGGTTTCATCTTTGCCCATCAAAATTTCCAATCCAAAATTAGATGACGGTAAACCTGGTAGGCGTTTCGCCTAAATAAATTAGAGTTATCACTCAACAGATAATTTGTAATTGCTAAAAATCAAGCACAGAAAAATCTCCCTAAGTGCACTCTCAAATTACAGCTGAATATAATACCTAACCTCTATAAATTACTTTTTTTATTGCTTGTTAAATGTGCGCGCAGCTAAAAGTTGGTAATTAGAGAGTCACTTAAGAAGATTTCTCTATATATTCTATATTTAATTTACCTTAGACACAATGTTTTGTTCTATCATACGTCTTAACAGAGCATGAATACCATAAACTCTTCTTTGTAAGGTAAGTCTAATATTTGTTTATGTTTCCTCCCACTATTAAATAGCAGAATTGATAGTTAGTCTATATTAACTAAATTTTAAAAAACATTAAATATTAATACTGTAATTCTAACTTGTTTAAGTCTGTTATGATCAGAAAGAACAGGTAAGATCTCAGTTTTTATAGACTTAGATTCATAGCAAGAAGTTTCATTAATGTCATAAGAATTTATAGCTGCTGCTGCGATTGTGGTGGGGAAGTCTGTAACTATAGTGGAGAACTTTAGGTTTAATAAGATTAGCTTATTCTCATATGAAAAAATAGTTATTAGATTATAAAATGAAAATACCTACCATTTTTTACTCAGTAATTTAGGTACAGTATTAATAAAAAGCTAAATTGAATATAGTCAAATAATTTAATTACTGTAATTAACAGTAATACAAATTTCAGTTGATCTCTCTGCACTAACTAATAAACTCCCTAAGTTGTTACTTTAAATCAATTAGTTAACAATTAAGGTAATATCACAAAGTCAAATTGAAAATTCTTAATAAAAACACTTCATTTCTTTTTTTTTTTTAAAAAAAAGGGAGAAAATTTAGAGCTGTTTAAGTACTATATTTTTAAAGTAAATGTAAATAATTTATATTATAAGAATTTGATCAAAATATACAAAATAATCTTACCT